AGGGCCTCTCACCCCCACCCCTCGCACGCCCAGGGCCTCTCACCCCAGCCCCCGGCACGCCCAGGGCCTCTCACCCCCGCCCCGGCACGCCCAGGGCCTCTCACCCCTTCACCCCAGCTTCTGCCACACCTGGCCCCTCTCACCCCCGCCCCGGCACGCCCAGGGCCTCTCACCCCCGCCCCGGCACGCCCAGGGCCTCTCACCCCTGCCCCTGGCACGCCTGGGCCCTCTCACCTCCACCCCTCGCACACCCAGGGCCTCTCACTCTTGCCCTCTTCCCCTTGCACACACAGCCCATCACTGCTGGCCCTGCCCTGCATGCCAGCCCCTTCTATGGGCAAGGCTGCCCCTGGCCCAGGCAGCTGGGGGCGAGGGAGTGGGGCAGGAGCCTGAATGCCAGGAAGAGAGTCCGTGGGGGATGGGGGAGTGAGCCCAGGAGACAGGCTGGGGCTCCGAGGGGAGGGGGACCCAGCCCTTGTGGCCATGAGGGGGCTCAGGGGATGTGGGGAGCTGGTGCCCAGGAGATGCCCCGTGGGGCCCCGGGGGGCCCAGCCCCAGGCCCCCTGCTGGGCTCAGAGGGGCTGGGGAGCCGGGGGAGAGGGCAGCCCCAGGGACTGCTGGGCCTGGGGGCTGCTCTGTACCTGATGTTGGCGGTGGTGAGGAGTGTGTAGGAGTAGAAGACGGGGTTGTACGGGATGTCGCTTCCTCGGAGGTTGAAGAGCCCTGTGGGAACACGGGGATTACAGGGGTTACAGGCCCCGCTGGGCTCCAGGGCAGTGCCGGCAGAGAGTCTGGGCGCAAGGTGACGCTGGAGGGTGCCGTCTCTCATCTGTGGGGGCAGTGCCCAGCACAGGGGCCTGGGTCTCGCCCCCAGGACCGTGATCACCAGGCTGGGCAGGCAGTTCAGCTCGGTGCAGGATGCCTGGTAGGGACGCTGGCCTGAGGACACTGGGGCCGTGCTGGGCTCAGAGGGGCTGGGGACACTGGGTTCTGTTGGATGCTGAGGGATGCTGAGGACATGGGCGGTTGTTGGGGGGCTGCGATGCTCTAAGGGGTACTGAGAGAACTGGGGGGCTGTTGGAGGCTGCGAGAGTCTATGGGGGAGGGAGGACCCTGGGGGGGTCACAGGGAGGTTCTTGGGGGGCTGTGAAGGTCTGAGGGGTACTGAGGACACTGGAGGGTTGTTGGGGGGCTGTGAGCGTCTGAAGGATGCTGAGGGCACTGGGGGGCTGTTGCAGTCTGTGGGGCAAAGCCGGAACGTAGGTGGAGGCCATGCTGTGGAGGGGGCAATGGCAGCATTGTCCCAGCCCATCTCTCACAGGCTGTCTCCTCCAGCCCAGACAGCAGCACGGCCATGGGGCTGCGGGAAAACTGCTCCATCTTGTTGGGGGGCTGTGAGCGTCTGAAGGATGCTGAGGGCACTGGGGGGCTGTTGCAGTCTGTGGGGCAAAGCCGGAACGTAGGTGGAGGCCATGCTGTGGAGGGGGCAATGGCAGCATTGTCCCAGCCCATCTCTCACAGGCTGTCTCCTCCAGCCCAGACAGCAGCACGGCCATGGGGCTGCGGGAAAACTGCTCCATCTGGCTCCGGATCCCGGACACCTTCTCTTGCCAGGTGCTGCCTGAAAGGACAGGGGGAGTCAGGCATGTGAGAGTCAGGTGCCCACCCCGGGAGCCCTCCCATCCCTGCCCAGCTGGAGGGGACCATTCCTCCAACACCTGCCCTGCCAGAGAGCTTGGGGCCATCCAGGGCTCTCTCCGCAGCCTTCCAGACATGCCATGCCCTAGGCGAGCGAGCTGAGGGTCTCCCAGCCTGACCCAGCCCAGCCAGACTCCACTGGGGGACCCAAACCTCTGGAGAGTTCCTGGGGCTGGCTGCGTGTGTGGCACTCAGACACCTGCCTCTGGCCCTGCAAACGCCCCCAACACCACAGCACGCCCAGCCATGCACAGGGATAATGCTCCATGCCACCAGCAGGGGGCGCCAGGGATGGGCTCACGCTCCATGCCACCAGCAGGGGGCGCCGGGGATAGGCTCACGCTCCGTGCCACTAGCAGGGGGCGCCAGGGATGGGCTCACGCTCCGTGCCACCAGCAGGGGGCGCCAGGGAGGGGCTCATGCTCTGTGCCACCGGCAGGGGGCGAGTTCCTACCCGTGAAGGTCTCTGGCAGGAGGTAGATCGGGCTGGTGGGCGGAGGAGGCCGCTGCGAGCCCCACACCAGGTCCACGAGGTTGTCCTCAATGGGAACCAGGGTCCGGCCGGAGTCCTTCAGGACGCGGGTGTAGCCTTGCCAGAGAGCTGGGGAGGGAGGCGCTTGGTTAGCTCCGCGGCAGGTCCGTCTCAAGCCCTCCCCAAGCCCCGCCCGCCCGCCC